TCTCTCTCTCTCTCTCTCTCTCTCTCTCTCTCTCTCTCTCTCTCACATACACACACACACTCTCAAACACACATCTAGGTAGTAATTACCGTAGAAAGATCGATCGATTTGGCTCATCTTCCCGAAGGAAACGTGTGTGATGAATCGATCGAAGCGCACCCTTTCTCTCTTCGATCTCTCTCTCTCTTCTCGATCTACTTCTTTCTCCTCGATCTCTCTCTTTCTCTCTCACACTCACACACACACACACACACACACACACACACATGAGTGGTAGTGAATATCGCGATGTCGTAGTCGAAGATTCGATCGTTTAGGCTAGTCTTCTCGAGGGAAGTTGTGTGAAGTCAGCCGCGGCCTCGGACGTTTCCCGCAGATCACATACACATACGCACTCACACACACACACCTATACACATACATACGTCGTAGTAACGAAATTTTTGACGTTTTTAGAGGAATATTCGATCGATTTAACTCGTCCGTTCAATGGTACCTGCTCGAAGTTAGCCGCGGCCTCGGATATAGGCGCAAATGAATCGGTCGAAGTACTTGATCTCTCCCTTATTTACACATACATATGCATATGTACACATATTTTCACAAGTATGGTACGTATATTCCCTTACTTCAAAGGGAGATTCATTCTATTAGGTCCGGGGAGTAGGTTGCGTGATACGGGACCTACCTGTTCTTTCCTTGCCTCGTCCTTGTCGTAGTTGTTGTCATCGTCGTCGTCTGTTTGTCTTCTCCCGTATTCTCTCTCTTTCTTCTCTTCTCCTCTCCTCCTCCTTCCTTCTCCCTCCTCCTTCTCTTTCTTCCTCCTTCGTTCCTTCTTCCTCCTTTCTTTCCTTCGTCCTCCTTTCGCCTTCTCGTTTCTCGTCAGTACTTTCTGCTCTGGTCGCGATCGCTGCTCACCTTTGCACAACTTGCCCGTACCCCTTTCCGTTTTTCTTTGTATGAGCACTGTCGCGCTCCTCACTCGTATTGCCTTGCCATGCGGCGGAGTTCTACCAGCCGCGATCGGGGCGGCATCCTACTAGATGAATCTGCCCTAGCATTGGGGCGGGATTCATTTAGGCACCCTCGGGGCAGGTAGGCCGTTGGGAAACAACGAAACAACAAAAGAAAAGAAAAGAAGTAGAATTTAATAACAAGAAAGAAAAACAAAAGAAAACGAAATAATAAAACCTAACGAAAATCTAACTGCAATTCTCCTAACCTGCCAAGTGTCAAGCCCCGTTTCAACGAGGCTATTACAACTAATTCTAATATGGTGATCGCGGGTTCAAGTCCTGGCCGACCAATACTGGCCAAACAAAAGCAGAGCTCCCTGTCAAAAGGAAGCTAGACCATTGGTCGGTAGGCTTCGATCCCTACATCCCCTGCGCTGCAAACAACACCTATACCTACTGAGCTAGCTCCCACTTCAAATACAAAGGGAGCGACTCTAGTATCTATATAGTAGTGGCTCAGCCCCGACTAGCAGCCTAGGCCAGTCTATAAGTTCGTGTGTGTGTACGTTTGATGGTCCGCGTGCCTGTGTGAGCACCTATCAGCTTGAGTGTACGTGTGTCTCACAAGGGCACTCGTTTGATCGGAAGGCCTGATGGGCCTATACTTACCCAAGGCTGCATCGTAGAAAGTTGCCGCGGGGAAAGAACTCCCAGGCAGCGGGTAGGGTGGCACTATACCAAGTAAATGTAGGTGTGCCGAGTATCTGCGGCCGAGCAATATTGACATCTGCGTATCTTAGATGTACCCTATTATGACAGTAACCAGATCAACCCCTCAACCTCCCTGGTCGAAGGGTATCGGTGTCGATCCTGACCATCGCAGTGCGTGCCTCAGTGATGCGCGTGCTCATACGACATTCTAAGCTCAGACTAGTCCTTCAAGGCGGTCGGCACAACCGACCTGTCGATTGTAAAATTATGGCCAAATACCCTTGTAAGGGTATTTGGTCCGACACCGCCCCCATCCATCTCAAAGCACTAGGTGGTGGTGACCGTGGGACGAACGGCCCGCGCCCTGAGCATGAGCGTGGGCAGGCCGAGCCAACTGGGACCCGCAGTGGGGTCGACCAAGGCTCGAAAGTCTGTCGGGGTTTGACTGTACACCATGCGATCATCTCAGTTAGAGAGCTAGGTATCGACTCTTGTCAGGTTACGGCGAGAGATCGAGGAGCAGACACAGAGACTCTTCTATGAGGAGGCGGCCACAACCGGATGGCAGGAGGAGGTTAGGATGAGGAGACGGACAGGAGAGGAGCCCATTCCTGAGGGGGAGCGTACACAGGCAGAGGAGGCGCTCCAGGCAAGATTGTTATCTGAGGCCTCAGTTCGAGAGCTGGCAGGAGTGATGGAGCATGTCGGGAGGCTCACGCAGACCGAGGTTACACGAGGAGAGGTACTCCATGATGCAGTACAAAGGTTAGGTGTCCTAGAGCAGAAGAACAAAAGTTTGAGGGACATAGTATGTGACATCGTCGCTAGCGCAGAGTTGGCGAGACAGTCTACCTCGAGACTCGAGCAGAGGATTAATGATCCAGAGGAGGGTCGGAGGCGTCAGGCCACGACAAATCTGGTCGACGAGAGAAGGACTGAGGGGCAGCAGATTCCTATCGGACAGGCGCACGTCTCTCATGGGGTAGAGTCAGGTGGAGTGAGATTGGATACCCCTCGACGAGACTCGCAGATGGAGGAGCCAGGTGGAGCTATGGGGTTGACATGTGAGGAGGCTGCAGTTGTTGACAAACTCATGCTTGAGCCAGACGAGATTGAGAGAAAGAGAGAGGCAGAGGCACGTGGATTGGACTGGGTTCCTCCATCAGAGTTCGCAGTCTAGGGAGATGCATGGCGAGAGATGGATGGTAGGCACGACGAGCGAGAGACTGTCTCAGAGTCATGAGATGTCATACCACAACAGGACATGAGAGGGTCAGTCGTGATACTGCCTACGACTCTACCGTTTACACCAACTCCAGCTTTGGGGCTGATGGACGACATAGTGCACCTCCTTTCTTCAGAGTTGAGAGATGTGACAAGGAGACGACAATTGAGGGGGCCTCGAGGATGTTGAGTCCTGATACGGTCGATAGAGCCGTACAGGATGTGACAATCCGACTCGAGAGGGCACAAACTCAGGTCTTACCCAAGCCTAAGAAGGCGAAGGTAGAAGCCAGCAACACCTGTGGTATGTGCTCATGGTGTGACAAAGGAGTGCACGACATAGTTGTTTGCCCCGCCTTCCAGGTTGACCTCAGGAGGCGAGTTGTGCAGTTCGATGGACAGGGACTAGTCAGGGATGTGCGTGGCGCTCGTCTTCCGACAAGACGTCACGGTGTTAGGAGAGTTGTGTATGACAGACTAGGCCTGGAGCTGAAAGAGGATGAGTGACAGATTACATGTCCACGAGACGCACGAGGAACCAGACTATGAGATCTCAAAGAGAAGATCAATGAGAAAAGAAGTGGCTATTATGGGAGATAGATTGTTGGGCTTGTTTCATATTCTTATCTTCTTTGAGGGCTTCGAGGCATGTGCATGTATACCTCATGACTTGTATATTGGGAGTTTTAACTCCTGGCTTCAGAACTAGAGTCGTGTACCTCATGTAGTTGGTGATCAGATTTGACTCATGTTTCAGTAGATTGTACATACATGATAGGCTACTCGTTTTAATAGGTTGGCTTGAGTAGGGGTTTCAGAGATTGCCCTGGGCATGAGAGTTCAGTTTTATGTGAATTTGTGTGAGTTTTGTGTGAGTTTTGTGAGAGATTGGTGTGTGTTTGGTGTGAATATACATTTGGTATGAGTATGACTTTTCAGGGTAGGACACTGAGTTAGTGAGTGTTTTTGCGAGTTGCATTATTTCGTTCAGGGCACTGCTCCAATTGTCGGATAGTGATACCCACTTGACACTTTTGAATCTTCATGATTGATTTTGAGATTCGAAGCGTATTGCGTAGATGTATCATACGGGACACAATACTGGGCAAGTTTGTCCTTGTTTTTATTTTTGAATATGCCCTATTGTTGGATTTTTGAATCAGACGTATGAGTCTCGTGTGGAAACATGGAGCCATAAAATATTCTCACAGTTTGGACTTGTGTCAACTTCCCGTGCATTTGTGATGTTTGTATTTATTTTTTCGATTGTGAGTAAGTTGTTTGATTGTTGAACAAATGATTACTGACCTTGATTGCATATGAATCAGTGTGTGAGAGTCAGTGAAAATTGTTCCACAAAAATGAATGGAATATGTTGAATCGGAAAGGCAGCCTAAATGTTTAATGGGAAGGGGACTCGCTTGAGGAGTCACCCGTATGTCTTAGGAAAAGGGGCCCGTTTTGAGGAGCTACTTGTTTATGTATGCGAGATGAAAGTAAAAATTTAAGATTATATCTTGTTTTGTGAAGATAAATAAAACTTCGATTTTTGCAGAAAATTGTCAATGGATAACCAAGCTTGAGAAAAAATGTTCATATAAAGAGGGGTTCCTCCGAAAGAGAGAGACTTGTTTGTGAGGCTTAGGGTCAGCGGTTGCACCTGTCATGATCAAGCAGAACGGCCGCAAGTATTGAAAGTTGGCTCAAGAGTATTTTAGGAGGCCTAAGCCGAGGGCTAAATCGACATCATTGCTTATTATGGTTACTATTATTAATTATTACTTACTATCTTTGTTATTATTAATTTATTATTATTATCATCATATGGGAAGGCTAAATAATTGAGTCAAGTATCAGGTCACTCAAAAAGCTCTAACGAGGGCAACTGCTAGGGGGTACTTAGGTCCAAAAGTCAGAGAGTCGCCTTAGCATTGTGCGAACAATGTAGGCAACATCGTGGTGTAATGTCACGATGAGCCGTAGTTTGGCCCGATCAACCAAACTACAGTGGGTTGAGGGCAGAACTATAACCCACCTATGACTAGATGCAAGGTCGAGCTGAGTTTTGATTTTAGATTGCATGGAGTGAGCTACGTGCAACACTATGTCTATTACAAGTTTGAGCTGCTCAAGGAGGTGTGCTTATATATGGTAAGCCGCCTACAGAAGTATGCTACATATCTTTGTTGCAGAGTGAGCTACCTTGAGGAGTGCGCTTTGAATCTCCTTAAGCTACTCAAGATGGGTGAGCTATCTGCGCTTGTTGTGTTTTGCAGTTTGTCCCACTCAGAGCAGTTGTCCTGCCTAAAAGCCGTGCCTGAAGATGATGGTTGTTTGACAACCCGATTCATACGGCACCCAACGAAAGTCGGAAGGTGTCTAGGACAAACAGAAGGCGTTGGTATTTGAACACTGAAGCTAACCTAGGATGGTAGTATAAAGAAAGTATCCCTGTGAGTCAGACCGGAGGTGTAGGTTGAACTCTTGCTCGCCATAGGGACGTCGCAGAACTAGGATACCAAACTCCGAGCTGAGTCCTTCCGATTATACGGATTTGGTTATCCATTCGCTCAGTTTATGCATTTGCTTACGTTTTCTCTTATATTTTTGTGTCCTTACCCAAAGCGACGGGGACGTCGCTTAATGGGGTCTGGGAGGACTGTCGTAGCAAACACTCTTACAAGGGTATTTGTCGTCGTTTCTAAAGGTCGCACTAGGTGCGTCCTTGATAAACGTAACGCACTGATGGGACAAATCTCATCAGGGCGCTTACCTCGGCGACCTCGCTCTTGGCAAGAGTCCGAGATAAATGCGAACGAATTAGAGAATGTGTGGGGCACGCATTATTGCGTAGCTCAGTGAGATATCCTTTAGTCATCGGTAACAACAGGTTGGCGGAAGGCACCAACGCTGTAGGTTCCGGTTACCCCCTTTCTATAATTTTTATTTTGGTTATATCTTTCTTTCATTTTATAGTGTATACCTTTACTTTGCAGACCGGCTCGGCCTTCTGGCGGGGCTTATCACGAAAAAGATAACTACTTTACCCTGTGCACGTGCGGAAAAATTATGTTTGACGACGCAATTAGAGGCGCGACTTTTTCGGGGTTTGGCATGGGAAAAGTCGAGAGTTTCGGTGATACATGTGGTTTGCTTGGCAAGCCAGGGTACCAGACGACTACGAATCTAGGCACGAACGACGTCATCCGGTGGTCGGGAGTCTGACCGGTAGGCCAAGGCGAAGGCCTGGTTTGTGCTGGTAAGCCCAGTCACAGTGCCATGACTGTTTATATGGAGATTCACGCCTACTTAGCTCAACCTTGGGCCTAGTTCTATTGGTTACGATACTGGACTTTCAAGCAACAGGTTTGGGGTTCGAGGTCAGCAAGCGGCGATGGAGCAAAGGAATGCGACCAACAAGGACTAAAGGGGTCGAGGGTCTTAAGGGACCATCCCCCTTGGTTTTGTTAGACGGGCCCAAGCCTGGGTTCGACTGGCAAGACCAAGACTTGGTTTTGTTAGACGGGCCCAAACCTGGGTTCGACTGGCAAGACCAAGAGGGTGGCGACAGGTTCGCGTCCTCTTCAATTCGACTATTTTTATTTTGTTGATTTATTTTTGTTTTTGTTTTTCTCCATTTTTTTCCGTCTATTGACCAGGCCGGAAACTGGCTTCTATACCGACGGCAAAGGAGTACCGCAGAGGAAAGGATGAAAAAAAGTTCAAAAAGAAAATTAAAGAATGCTTGAAATTGTTGAGCAAGGAGTGGATGGATGCAAGTCGTGCACCCGTACATGAATAGGGGCGGATGGCGACTTTGCCGCCCCCTTCGTTGACCTTGAATGCAGGGGTGCTTGCCAACATGGGCTGTAGTGACCGACATTGCACTAGGGAACGACAAAGAATCTGCGCCAGTGGCCGTCACAACAGTCCAGGACCTTGAGCACAAGCCTCTTTTAGCGGTGTCGTTCGGGGTCTTGCGTATTCGGGGTGCTGACAAAGTTCCTCTATCCTACCCGTCTTGGTGCTCGAACAGATGAGGTCAACGTGTGTGGGAGTTGGTGGGTGCATAGCCCGCGGAGCGGAAGAAACCCGAGTGGCGGGGGCACTTTGCAAGTGCACCACTCGCCAACCACGATCTGCTGTGGGAGGCTGATGTAAGAGCATGCCCGTCGTCGCCCGAAAAAGGGTGAACTGTGCCTAGTAAGTCACAGCCAGAGGGAGCCCTGGTGAGGGTACACAGCAGGTGCGCCGTCCGCCAACCATGTTTTGCTGAAGAGTTCGAGTGTGAACAGGCCTGTGGGACCGCTCCTTGAGCCGTACGGCCTACCTGCTACTTGAGTGTTTTTCTCCCGCTGCTCCAAGTGTCGCGGGCGTACTCCCCGCTACTTGAGTGTTTTTCCCGCTGCAACCCTCAAAGTCACGGCCACAGGTCAGTACCGGCCTCGCGGGCGTCACAACACATAAGTGCCCTGCCAGTCCACACACACACTCACGCAGACGTGCACTCAGACAGGCACAGGACCAACAAGCATGCGCACACACACATACTTAGCACAACGCGGGAATCTCAGCAAGGCATACATTCCAGCGGCAAAACACAGAAATCAGCGGTGTTCTCAGTCTGTGTTTTGGCGGGGCATTACAAGTCAGTCCAAGTTACAGTCAACGTTGACTATAACTGACTGTGCTTGCCTGAATGTGTCTCTAGTAGTGTGACTTTTGACCAGCTGTTTCTTTGGACTTTGACGAACTGTCTCTTTTCACTTGGACGGCCTTCTGTCCTTCCTTTCTCTTTCTCATTACTCTCTTTAAGCGAATAGCGGGTCTCGTGTGACATTCCCACGCGAAACCTGCCTTCCGGTGTCAGGAAACAGCCGGGGTCTCGGGCCACATGCAGCGGTGTAGTATAGTTTTCTGCCACCTGTGCGACTGTGGGATCACTGTGAACCATTGATCATCTGACAAACCGACGGTAGGATTACACAACCTGCCTTTTTGGAAGGGGAGCCAGCAGTCTACTGTTTTGTGATTGGTTGG